ACAACCCAAGGGGGTCGCTGAGTATTAATAAGGTAAGAACTCAATAACCATTTTTATCGTGAACGGTGCCTTTAAGGAATGGGTAATTGCCTAAGTGTCAAGTACTGGTAACCGAAATTCCGTATTTCCGCGTTGCCATTCTCCTTTCTTTATGTTTCTTGGAAATATATTTGCTCAGGTACGATTTCAGGGATGAAATGATTATTTGTCGCACCCACATATGTATATGGGGAAACTCATCCGGTATACGGTACCCTTTCGAGCATAACGCATAAAATTAATGTGGCCCTGGTGAAGCCATCAGCTGTCAAAGTTGTTCCAAAAACCGGCACATGTGGTTATCGGAGAATATGTTGATCTCTGCATGAGGAGTTAATCGGGTTCTGTTCGGGATGCGCTAACAAAAAACATTGTTCTGGAGGCTGCCTTTCAACTGTTGCTTTATTGAACTTCAGTCTCAAATTAGAAACGTCCTCTTGAACATAGGCATACTCCACAACAAATTTTGTAATTTTTTTTATTTCTTGTACTTGGATTCTTTTGTTTGCATTTATTCCTTCGATTATCTATTCTTTTGTTTGCATTTATTCCTTCAATTATCTTTCTCTCATACCGATCTCTTTATTTCATTCATCTTTTGTTTGCATTTATTCCTTCAATTATCTTTCTCTCATACCGATCTCTTTATTTCATTCATCTTTTAGCTTGATGATCGTAAGTGAAAGTAGATTTATCGAGTTATTTCAAGGTCAGAGTTAAGCTCAATAGCAAAGCTTTTGTCACCGTTCAAAACTTTCGCACTCCGCAACTTCCGCAATTTAATGTCCGCACTCATCCGTCTAGAGAGAAAAGGAACGGGAAACGAGTTAATCGTTGCACTAAGTTCTCTACATTCTGAGAATTGACAAGAAGTTTTGTCGAGAACACGGGGTTTTTCACATTGGCCCTTAATTCCCATATGAACTCATCTGAATGGGAAATTGCGAAAGCTGTTCCACTTGCTTGTATGACAGCAAAACTTGTTCTAATAGATTTAGAATCTTGATATGAGCGCATTTCGCCTTTCGTCGCCTTGCCGCATTCGTGTTGTTTGACGACTTGCTTTTGTCGGCGCTATTTTGATGGGATTGTATCCTTCCTAATTGCTTACATACCCGATTTCACAGTCTTCCTTAATCTTAAGATCGCAAGCTTCAGCTTTATTCGTATGTGTTTATCTATTTATTTATTTGCAATCGCAAAAAAAGTTTCCGCGGAGGCAAAACATTAACAGGTCCCAATCAAACTCGTCCGCATGTCGGCCCGGGTCTGAAAGATAGTAAAATGAATTGGTCTCTAGTAGTTATGATGAATATTGAAAGTTGATCTTAAATTAAAAAAATAGTGAAATAAAATGATCCCTGAAAAGCTTTAGTAAATCCCACAACGATTTTCTCAGAGAGCGGGTTACGGTAGACTGAGGCTACGACGTACGTCATTTTAACCGGCTGGACTAAAAGCAGTTGGGTATTGGGATGCGATATTAATAAGTAGGTGTACATCCTAACTGGCATTTGAGATCCAAGAATTAAAATCGAATTATTTTTTGTAAAATCTACTTGATCGTACTTTGTCTTGCCCGTTCGAGTGACATTTTGGCAGGCTCAAGTGGCTTCAGAACGTTTTCCCCTCCGTCCGAGAGTTAACGAAATATTGAAGGGCGTTCGTTGAAGAGATCCTTAAGTGGCATGGCGCTTAACCGATTTATCCAACAGCAGCCTTCGTATTTCGCCATTTGCTCGTCTAACACAGCTGCTGCCTTCAGATTTGGTTGCAACCGGTTCTGATGATGGAGAGTTGAAGCTGTGGAAAATTGCTGCCGATTTCAAAAGCGTCTTCCAAGTGTTTGCTTATGAAGTGGTAAGTCGACTTGATTCCTTCCAGATAAAGCGGGGACTTTGAAAGAATGTGGGAGAATGTTCTAGGGAATGATTGTTATCGTTGTGATGGGCAAAGTTTGTTTCTCATGTAGTCATACCAATGACTGAGCAGAGAAAACTGAAATGCTTGTCAGCTGGAATGCATTGAAAAACATCTGAGCAAATGGCAAAGCTCATTCTCCTGTCACCGCCAAGAGCCGTTCGAATGCTTTGATTTCGGCCCTTTTTTTTNCTAATTATATTTACTGCGCGGCTCATAATACTGTAAAGTAATAATGGCAAAAGTTCTGTGGAATACGCCCTCTCTCCAGAGTTCATTCGAAAATAGCTGGATTCCCACACCGCTCTGGTTCCTCCCAGCTTCTGCATTCGATCCACGCCAACCCCAGTTCACTTGCAATGCTCCATGTTTCTGCAGAAAGCCGGTTTCTATTATAAATGACCCCCTCGTCTCTATTGTGCTGCTACACTTACCCGTCGGGGTGTTCCCTACCAGTTTCTTCTACTTCAGTTGTCGTGCTTGGCCTCATGTCAATAGTTCCGTACTAAATAAACAAATGTTGTAGGATTTATTTTCCAGCCAGGATTTATCAATGATGTTCGATTTTCTACCGATGGTTCTTTATTGGCGTTAGCTGCTGGACAAGAACACCGTGATGGCAGGTGGTGGGTGAGTGGTTTGAGCTCTGTTTGGTCTTTTCTTGGTTCATACAAACTCCCATTCAAATGGGTTCCACTTAGGTTGTTTTTGAAACCTTGTGGGTCTCAATAGATATGAATTTTCTTTATAATAATTTTTTTCAACCGCTCAGCAGTCAAATTACTTTTCTACCGAATCTACANGGGGGGGCTCTTATGAGGAAAGCAGTTATTTTGAAATGTTTCTTGAAAGCTGGCCGGCTTTGTTTGAAATATCCCCTTTTGAGTGTGAATCCATGACTCCAAAGCTGGGATGCCTGGATTCATTTGTCCTAAAACTGTCCTAGGGATGCTGACATACTGCCGGTTTTGCGCCAAACGGCTCTTTTCCGGTCTTTGGAGTTTATTTGCATAGTTGTTGTGCGGTGTAATTGTGCCACCATGGCAAGAATAGAGCAGTGATGAAATGCCGAGTGAAGATATTCGGAAATTCAATTAGATCGATCTTCTTCCTTTTTTCGTGTGGGAGAATACCCCACACTTTATTTGTGAAGCAAATTGTCGTTTTTTTAGTCGCAAAAGTCATATTCCAATCATGTATTACCGTATTAGATCTCCCGAATATTTCGTTTCGTACCTACCATTCCAAGGCCCTTTCTCAGGGCACATTTTCTTGGGGTTATGGTGGCAAATGGTACTGATAGGTGACATCTTGAACGGGTTTTCGGCTCTTTGGCCCTTTACAACACATCGCTAATAAAAAGTTTATATACCTAGCCTACTGCAGAGCAACTAACAAAGCGAAAATTGTGAACAGCTCATACTGTGCAGATAGTTTTCAGTGGGAGAATAGTTATTGGCCTGGAGATTATGTTCTCATTGAGCCTCAGAAGATGATTTAGAGTCATTTGTTACTGTGGGTCATTTGATGGAAGTGTAATTGGATTTGATAATCAAACGGATTTACGTGACAATTCGAAAGTGGAATTCAAAAATTGGTATGTTATTGGTTTGGGGTGGTACATTAGGCCCGTTTTGAGGGAGATCTTGGCTTCAATGCGTGTAATCATAAAGGAACTCTTCGAGATTATTTAACAAAAATTGATGCTAGATTATAGTCTCAGTTGGTTGTGGAAAGTGATGGAATGAGGTACATTCCGGAAATAAGCAGGAGGACGGTTTTGAAAAGGAAAAACCAACCAAATTGTATGAGTTTCAGTTATAAAAAACTTTTAACTTACTATACCTTGGTGTCAACTCCTCGTTTGGAGTACTTTTCCTTTTAGGAACATTCCTCTCCTCATTTCTAATTTGCACCCTTTTATACCGAGCTCGAGAAGCTGTTTACGTGGGTATATTCAAGAGCGATTGACGTGTGCGCCTGACGATTTTCAGCCAGCGCAAATTCAGACCAGATTTCGTTGATGACGGTCTGCTCTGCTTTCTATCCTGTCAGAACAGCTGTGCAGCAAAATGCCCGTGGTGTTATTGGTTACATCAGCTGGCTTTCACGTCGTTTTTTCGGGTCGATTCTGCACTCTTCCTCTCGAAATATTCTTCCATGAACATTCAAGCATGCTTCCTCCACGATTTTTATCGGTTAGAGCTCAGTTTCTGCTGAAATGGGGGAAGGAAATTTCGGAAGATTTATTTCACTGCTTTATGCCTATACAGAGCGTAGAAATCGACTGGAATTAATGATCGGAAGGAAATGCTAAATACCCCTCCCATGGTGATAAGGAGCGTGAGCCTAATCCGGTTTTGTCCTCACAGGGTGCTTAAGCAGGAGAGCAGCTCTGCAGAAGAGGAAATCAGCCAATTTGATGAGTTTCTATTTTTGGTTTTTTTGGATTTAGTTTTAGGGCTTTTTGGTTTTATTTCTGGAGTTTCTTGTTGACGAGAGCTGGGATCTCCAGCTTACTACCGTATGCTCAATAAGAATGGCAGAAAGAGCTCAAGCATTTTCCATCCAAACGGCTGTTAATCAACTGAAAAAGCTATGTATCACATTGCGCTCGTGCCCTTCGTTTGTGTTTGTAGGTTCACATACTCGATCATGGTTTCGGTGTACATTCGTGCAAGTGCAATAGCTGTCTGGGCTCCTTTTTTTTTGAAGGAATGATGACTGACGTCTTTCCGCTGTGACTAGAGCTGCAGCATGTACACTGGTCGTGCACGATCAGCCAAATTTTCTTCAGCTATTGCCAATTGACTAGATCATTACGCTTACGTGAGCTATTACAAGAATACTGAGTGAGAATGTCAGGCTTCGAATGGACACCCAAGCAGGTTCTATGGGCGCCCTTCTTTTCCGTAGTGCTACTGCTTGTTATTCTGCTTTCTTCTGCTTCTAGGTAGGTAGTAACTCAGCCTAACAGTTGCTTGGGTTACATTTCTCGGCAAGTTTTTTTTCTCGCACCAGTGTTGTACACTGAATGGGTTGGGGAAGTTCGACCACAGTCTGTCATACCCATACCCGTGGGCGAGGTCTCGAATTTTTCACGTATGACGGAATAATTCGCGGTAGCTCGGGCCTTTCATGACGTTTTCCGGGCAAATAATGCGGGAGGTACGTCATGGCGTGACTCACTCATGGGCACGAAAAAATTGCACCCTGACGGTAAATATCCGTCCCATTCCCTCCTCTGACTGTAACATAAATCTAGATTGCACTGGAAATCAATGCACTTTTAATAGCCAATTGTGCCACTAGCGAAGGCTTTCAGCTGGCTTGAAGTATGGCCCAATTCAAGATTGAACTCGTCGCAGTTTTATGGCAGGATTTATAGTGCATTGATTTCGATTGAGGGAATTTATGACCACATGGCTGAGAGAAAAAGTTCCTGAACAGGCTTGATTTCTGATCCGCTTGGGAATTTATGAGAGTTTTACCGATCTGAGCTGAAATTGATGGGCCGATTTTCTGTGGTGTTTGGTGCAGTAGGCTAGTCGCGAGAGCGCGAGTCGCTGTCGGCACGATTGGTGAGTCGGAAGTTACTAGAACCAAAAGAACCTCCTTTGTATGGTACCCAAGATGAGGGAGCAAAGTGAGAGTGCCCACTCGCTCTTTACCCGGTCTTATGACCGATTTAATTCCTTTTGTACAATTTTGTGAGACCATGTCAAGTATGGTAGATCTACTGAACCTTACGGTGCATTTTTACTCACTTTTGAAATGCTTCAAAAGGTAGAGGAAATGAAGGAAAAAGTTTTTCATGGGAAGAGAGCACTGTGGAAAGGGGAGACGGGCATTACATAGGATCGGTTTTGTGTTATCGATTGGCCGCGCACGGCAGTCGCTAACCATTACGCCTCGTTATTACAGTTCTAGCGTCCTTCATACAGCTCAGTCGATAAGCGATCCTTATTTTAGGCATGATTCTCATGTTCTGTCTTTGTTCCTGTACATATTTCCTACTTGCTGCTGCATTCTGTTACATTTCTTCGCGCGCGACGTCTCTCTCGCCGCGTCGCGACAATTTCGATCCTACTGCATCACACCCCATGTAGAGGTTTCGTTCGTGTTTCCTAGCACAGAGGTATGGAATGTCTGGAAGAAAGAAATATGTATGGAAAACATATGCATAGAATGACTAAAGCTGGCTGTATTTTCTTATTTTCAGATAAATAACCAATAAATCGCCGGGAACATTCTTGGCGGTTTATTGGTTATTCATGGCAAAGTATGAATTGTTGTTATTGAATTGTAAATGAGCAGCAATTTTCCTCAGAAATAAATGTGCATAATATTATTCCCCAGGGTTTTTTCCCAATGTCTGAAAAAGGGGACTTACAGTGATGAATCGTTGCCACTTTTTGACAAAAAACATTACAATTGTCCGACAAGCAGGTTCCTTGGCGATCTGATTGGCATGAGTTTCTCGCGCGGCTATTGTTTACAGCTAGTGATGACCCGTGGTTCTCTTTCTCAAACCTTCAGTTGCATGATAATGATACTTACAATTAATTCATTCTTACGGTATGGTTGTAGCATAAGGTAGAGTTGGGTAACGCCAAATGACACCGATACTACCGAAATGGTCCTAAGATCGAATCCCGGTTTATAGGAATCTAATGGTGAGGCCAATGAGGCTTACATCGCTACGGCTTCGATTAGCTAGTACAGAATTCGTCTGGGAAATCAAAATTTTTTATTTGTACATCAATTGGCTTTATCTATTCATTGTATAAAACAAATTTCTGTGAAACGCTGAACGATCCCTGTGAGAGTCCAATGCGTGGGAGCGTCCCGAATGTGATTGATTAGTGGCGAAGATTTATTTACAATTTTTTTCNTATAGGATCATGAAACTAGATTTGTTTCTAGCTCGTTCACTAAAATCATGAAAGTGTTCATCAAAAATTTACCCATTTTGATTGACATAAAAATTAGAATGTTTCTGAAATGTTCCTTTTTCTAAAATTGGTCTACCTGCTTGGAAGAACGATTTGTTTGCTCTAGGGGAACTTCTTTTCCATCCAGGTCTCCGACCCTTCCCAGATATAAATATTCGCTATTCGATTACCATTAATCTTTGGTTGGCTGGAATCGGTCTATTTTCCATGTGACTAACCGACTGGCGAGCTAGTTATGTGTTTTGGCAGGCGTTTATTGTAAAGTCTGCCGCCAGAGTTCAGCGGAATTACTGGTTTTCTCTCGGAGGCTTCATGGAAAGAGGCATTCATCTTCTTTCTCAACCATTCTCTCTATATTTTCATGGAATATCGGGGAATGGTAGCTTTGGAGCTAACCTAACACTGGAACGAATGTAGTGAGAAATCTGTATGGACATCTGAGATAGCAGGGTCAAGATTCTTCCTCTACCATCCATGACTCCTTCTTCTTCTCCTTAATGTAAGACCTTGACCCGGTATCTCTCAAACAGGGGCTGAGGGAAGCCTGTGAAGTCATGATCTCGTTATTCGTCTTTTTACAGTATGCCGCAGTAATATGAAGTAAGAAAGTCTTGATGTAGGGCATCGCGTTGCAGCAAAGTCTGTTAGCCCACATGTCTTCTTCTTTACCACGTTAGTGCGTTTGCGTGCGTCCGTGGACTGGTTAAGAGGCAACACTGTGCAAATGTTGAGATTCGTCGCAAGTTTCACTTTCTGTTTAAGCGGCTTAAATGAAAATGCCAGTTCGGATTCTTCTCAACCACATCTCTCCAAGTGGGCCTCTTTTCGTCAATTTATTGTGATGGTGCAGAATTTTCTGAGTTCCCTACGACGTCAGTCATTCATCAGATGACGTGCATTTGTTTTTCACAATGATACAACTGGCTCGTATCATGCGATAATA